CAACAAAAAAAGAGAAAGACTAGAAATTTAAGGCCCAAAATTGATGGAGTCACCAAATGCCAAAGAGGTAAGCGTGGTGAGAAAAAGGATAAGTCCAAGTTGAAATGCTTTAATTGTGGTAAGAAGGGACATTTTGCTCAAAAGTGCACTAAGTCTAAGAAGGTTCGTCCTCTAAACCACTTTAGAACTTTTGTTTATTCTCAGATGCTTATAGCTTATTCTCTTCTTGGTTGGATGATAGATACAGGGAGCAACCAAGCATATAACCTGCAACCATGCAAGATATGTAGATTACATTGTTTACCATCTGGTAAACACTTTGTCATGATGGGGAATGGAGAACAGGAAAAGGTCCTAGAAGTAAGAACTTGCCAAATCACAAAACACAATAGGCAAAAATGGCTCTTACATGATGTACTTCATACTTCATCCGTACGATGTAATATACTTTCAATTTTAGCATTGATGGGTTTAGGATTTAATTTTACTTTTGAGAATTATAGTTTGTCTATTTTTCTTAAAAACATGTTTTTTGATCAGGGTTATTTTAAAGATGGTTTGATTATGTTAGACTTGGATTCTAGTAATGATGTTGCTTGTGTTTCAAATTCTTCTTTTGATGTTATAAATGATTCTATGAAATGGCATGCTAGATTAGGACATCTTGGGTAAAATAGAATGCCTTGACTGGTTAGAGAAAAGCTATTGAGCTCACTCACCAAAGTTAAACTTCCTACATGTGAGTCATGTCTTACTGGTAAGTCTAGTAGAAAGCCTTTTCAGGAACGCTAAAAGGGCCACCCATTTTTTATAACTTGTCTATTCGGACATTCGTGGGCCTATGAATGTAAAGGCATGTAGTGGTGCGTCCTATTTCATTAAATTCATGGATAATTACTCATGATATGGATCTATATTTCTGTTGTCTCAGCATTTTGAAGCTTTGAATTGTTTCAAATGCTTTATGGCAAAGGTTGAGAATGAGAAAGAATGGTTTTTAGCACTAATAAAGGTCGTGAATATCTATCTGATCAGTTTAAAGAATTATGTGAAGAATAAATACACACGTATTAGCTTTAGGGCCAAGTTTCCCATACTTATAAAATGAGTGACATGCGTACGCTACTTATCCCCAAGGATGTAAGCCTTCCAAATTGGGCTTATTTTCATTCCACAACTCATACGGAGTTGTGGGAACAAATTTTTAAGGTACACGATTGAAGATGTATGTTGCGGTTAAAAGGGTATCCCCCCAAATACTTATTAGAAGGTTGGCTTATGCTATCGTTGACCTAACCATGTCTAACAAGGTACGATTCCTTCTCTCTACAACACTGTTTTGTTACAGTGTTCTAAGTGTTGTTAATTGTTAACATATCATAACATTCTAAGGGCTACATGATGTATGTGGAACATTTTGATGGAGGGCAAACTGAGATGGAATCTTGTGATGTTGATTTTCTAGAAAATGACTTCCTAAGCCTATGTGAGGTTAAAGAAAGCCTTGAGCTTTATAAGATGAAGAGCCTCAAGAAAGTGTATTCCAACATCAGGAAATGAATGTGGAAACACATCTTATCCAAGAGACTGTTAAGGTCAGTGGGAGTACACAACTTGAGCCCCACCAAGATTCTTAGTTACAAAGAAGTGAACGTGGTCAAATGCCACATAAATGATTTGAGATAAAATGTTAGTATTTCTCAAGTATTCCTGTGGATGTTGATGAACCATCTTCCTATGAAGAAGCTTTAAACTCATCATCATTAGACAAGTGGCCTACTGTTAGGGAAGATGAAATGAAATCCATGATTGAAAACCAAGTATGGGAGTTAGTTGACATTTCACCTAGGCACAAGGCCATCAAAAACAAATGGGTTTTGAAGGTAAAGCACAAAGCAGATGGATCAATTGAAAAATAAAAGGCTCGTCTAATGGCAAAAGGCTATACCTAAAAAAAAGATGTGGATTATGAAGAGATGTTTTCTCTTGTGGTGAGATTTGCTTCAATTTACCTTATCTTGGCTATAGTGGCACATCTAGATTTAGAACTGTTCCAAATCTAGATGTGAAAACTACATTTCTCAATGGGGAAATCAATGAGGAGATTTACATGAATCAACCAATTGGTTTTCAAGCCAAAAGGAAAGGAACATAAGGTGTGTCACTTGAAATGTTCTATCTATGGCCTGAAACAATCATCCCAACAATGGTATCTTTGTTTTCATCAAGCCATCATTTTCATAGGCTTTGTGAAAATTGAAGAGGACCATTATGTGCATTTAAAGAGATTAAGGAATAAGTTCCTTATTCTTTCATTATATGTGGATGATATTTTATTAGCTAGGAATGACATGGAGTTAATTGTCACCATTCAGAAGTGGTTATCTTCCATTTTCGAGATAAAAGACATGGGGCAAATTGAATACATCCTCAGGATTAGGATCTCAAGAAATCATTCTAAGAAGTTCTTGAGTTTGTCTCGAGAAAATTACATTTAAATAGTCTCAGAATAATTTCATATGTAGAACTCCAAGCCTATAAACACTCTAATGGAAAAAGGCTTATATCTCAGCTTGGAACAATGTCCTAAAACTGAAGAAGAAAAGAAATGAATGGCAAATGTACCATACGCAATTGCTGTTGAAAGTCTTATTTATGCTATGATGTGCACTCGACCGGACATATGCCTTGCGTTGGTATGGTCAATAGGTACTAAAGTTATCCTAGGTTTGCCCATTGGGCTGCAATCAAAAGGATACTAGGGTATCTAAGAGGAACCAAAAATTTGGGTTTGTGTTATCAAAGTGGAAATCTAAAATTGGTTAGATATAATGATGGTGATCACGCCGGTGACAAAGATGATCAAAAGTTTACTTCAAGATATGCTTTTATACTTGGAGGTGGAGCTATCTCTTGGAGTAACAGGATGCAGCTTTGTACTACTTTATATACCATGGAAGCAGAATATGTAGCATGCTGTGCTGCAGTACAAGAGATGGTTTGATTAAGGAGATTCTTGCAAAGCTTGAACATTACTAGGCATTTTAGTGAAGCTGTTGTATTTTATTGTGACAACACAATTTCCATAGTTTATACAAAGATCTTAAGTATCATGGAAAAACCAAACACATTGATACTCTCTATCACTACATTTGTGACATTATTGTACAAGGTCTTGTTGTGTTGAAGTACATTTCCACAACTAATATGTTAGGAGACCCATTCACTAAACCTATTGTTAGAAATATTTCCAAAGCATATTAAAGGTTTAGGGTTATTATGCATTTGATATTCATGTACTATTATTTTTGAATAATTAATAAATTAAGTTTGTGTTGACTTATTTGAGCAAATGTTATTAATTAATTAGGGCACATATCTAAGGTAATTATTGTCACCTAGCTTTATAGATTATTCCTCTCACATGGGGTAATCACCCTAACATTATGGTAGTGTGTGGGATGAAACTTAAACGATCATAAGGAACCAAGCATTTTGTGATCTCTTTGTCACATGAGTTGTAAACAAGGATCTTAGCAATGCCATTTTGACTTAGAGTCAAGATGAGACTTGTAAGGGTCAGAACATAAATATTATCCACACTCCATGGAGCTAGTAATAACCGAATTTGAATCTTATGGAATTCAAGTCAATCTTTTTTGCAAGGATTGGACTAAGATCTGTATGGTGGTTTTAACCTGCAAATCTTGAATGGAAAATCTACCATAATGTACGTTTCATACTGCATGTGATATTAGTCGACCAATGGAAGGGAGTGATTGAATAGATCCCTGCTTCATCACTGTGTAAGCCTTAAAAACTTATGTAGTCCAAATTTTATATCCTTTGGGACTTGGATCTATGATATGAACTTAAAATTTTGGTGTTGCTACTTTAACATGATTTCCAAAGGTAAAGAATGATGTGATCTAATGAAACATGACTAGGAAAGCAGTCAGATCTTAATGGATTGACATGAGTATCCAAGGAAGAGTCATTATACATCTCACATATATGGTCTATAACTCAATGCTCGAGCGGTTATAAAAACATTAGTTGTTAGATATAACCATGAGTTTATACACATAAAAAGATTCTACAAAGCTCTTACATGTAGGAGGGATTAAAGATGCAAAATCTTATGTGATTACAATGATTTGGGGTATGATGAGAACTCAAGTGATGTTATGTTAGTAAGATGGTAACTTAATATCTCACTGCTCATTGGTATCTTTTTTTTTTTGTTGGTCGCACGTTCTATTTTCCCTGAATGACAATGAACGGAGAATGAGTTAAATTGAGAATGTTAGAAGTTGATGCCAAGGTGTAAGAGTGAGAGATATTACATTTAAATGTGGTGTGCCCACATGACATGCAACTTTGTTAATTTTGTGAATAATTGACAAATATTCAATTAATTAATACTAAACATTATTCTGATATTTCTTAATTGAATAATTAAAAAAATTTAAGATAAGATATAAATTTAAATTTAATTTGTTTAAATTTAAAAAAGAATTATCTATCCATTATATTTAAATTTAACTTGTTTAAATTTAAATAGGAATTAATTACATTAAAATTTAATGTGTTTAAATTTAAAGTAACATCCTATCTCTAAATCCCTAATACGTATATAAATAGTGAACAGATATACTGATTTTTACACGCAATAAAGAGTGGACGTGGATTCTTCTATAAGTCAGAAAAAATAAAAACTCTTTTTTCTTTTTGGCTGTTCATTCTTAAGGCATTATAGTTGTTTTGTAATTTCTTGTGAAGGACTCTAGTAGCCTCCATAATAACATGATCATTATATGCACGGAGGATGATTTATAAGGTAAGCTTTTTCGATAAGAAGGAAGTGAAATATTTATTTGAAAAGGTAAACCCACAAAAAGTAATAAAGAATGTTCAATAGAAAAACTTGAAACTAGATGGGGTCTAAGTGTAATTCAATCAAAATTTTATTGACTCTATATCAGATGGATACCATAGCATAGCATGCAACGATTTTGTTTCATTTCCAGGAAAACAGTGGGAAACTGTTATGGCGGCACATAGTGTTGCTCAAAGTCTCAACGGTTTTTCAAAATTTTTAACCATTAAACTATGGAACTCACGAATAAAGGAGGCTGTAAACCAAAACAGTACCGAAAAAGCCCTTCTTTTCTTTCGCCGAATGAAGCAAAATGGGTTGGAACCAAACAACTTAACCTTTCCATTCATTGCAAAAGCCTGTGCCAAGCTTTCCAATCTAAAATGTTCCCAGAGCATCCACACCCAAATCGTAAAATCGCCATTTGGAAACGACATATTCGTGCAAACCGCAATGGTGGATGTGTACGTTAAATGTGATCACGTGGATTATGCGTACAAAATATTTGAAAGAATGCCTCAAAGAGATGTGGCTGCTTGGAATGCAATGCTTATCGGTTTTGCTCGGTTGGGTTTTCTTGATAAAGTGTTTAGTCTCTTTGGTGAGATGAGGTTTGCTAGGATTCATCCTGATTCAGTCACTGTTGTGGGGCTTAGTCAGGGACTTTCGGTTGCAAGGAGTTTGGAATTACTGAAGGCACTTCATTCCTTTGGGATTCGAATTGGGGTAGCACCTAATGTTACAGTAGCTAACACTTGGATTGCGGTATATGCCAAATGTGGTGACTTGGCATCAGCGGAGAAGGTTTTTGATGAGATTGATATTGCTGTGAGGACTGTCATTTCTTGGAATTCCATGATTGCTGGATATGCAATCTTTGAAAATTTTCTTGCTGCCTTTGATTTATACCAACAGATGCTGGTTGATGGAATTAGGCCTGATGCGAGCTCCGTTGTCAGCCTGATTTCATCGTGTGTGCAACCTGAAGCACTATTTCAAGGAAAGCTAATTCATTCTCATGGAATCCAATTGGGTTGTGATTTGAACTTATCTGTAATTAATACTCTTATATCCATGTATTCCAAGTGTGGAGATATTAATTCTGCAAGATTTTTATTTGATTGCATGTCTGATAGGACATGTGTTTCATGGACTGTTATGATTAGTGGGTATGCTGAGAAAGGGGATATGGATGAGGCAATGACCTTGTTTCATTCTATGGAAAAAGCTGGTGAGACACCTGATTTGGTTACTGTACTTTCTTTGATTTCAGGTTGTGGCCAGACAGGATCCCTTGAGCTTGGAAAATGGATTGACAGTTATGCCAAATCTAGAGGGTTTAAAGATGATGTAATGATCTGTAATGCACTTATAGATATGTATTCAAAATGTGGTAGTATATGTGAGGCTCAAGATGCCTTTCATGCCATGCCTGAGAGGACTATTGTTTCTTGGACAACCATGATCTTAGGTTGCACTGTGAATGGAGAATTTGGAGAAGCTTTGGACCTTTTCCACCAGATGAGGGGTTTGGGCTTCAAACCAAACCACATAACATTCCTTGCTGTCCTTCAAGCTTGCACTCATGCAGGCTTTCTTGATAAAGGATGGGAATTGTTCAATATGATGACCACAGTATATGGTATCAATCCTGGATTAGATCATTATTCATGTATGGCAGATCTTCTTGGACGTAAAGGTAAGCTAATAGAAGCTTTGAAGTTTGTTTTAAATATACCAATTAAACCAGATGCTGGAATATGGAGTGCATTGCTTAGTGCTTGCAAGGTTCACCAAAATGTAGAGATTGGTAAGTATGTAGCAAATCTCCTATTTGAGATGGAGCCTCAAGTGGCTGCTCCGTATGTGGAGATGGCAAACATATATGCATCAACTGGAAGGTGGGATGAAGTTGCAATGATAAGATTGTTGATGAAACGAAGTAATGTAAGCAAGTCTCCTGGGCAAAGCCTTGTTCAAGTTAATGGAAAAACACGTAGATTTACTGTCGAAGATAGAAGTCACCCTGAAAGTGTGCTTATATATATGCTGTTGGATGATTTAGCTTTGCAATTAAAAGATGATGGATATCCCCTGTATTTGGGGAATATTTCTGAAATGGAATTGATTTGAATTTCTATGCTTTTAACATTTACAGAAGAATTCAGTTTATAGAGAGAAACATTCTTATGAGCCATTATTCAAAGTGTATCAAAAGTGGGAGGAAGTAACTCTGCTGTGAAAAGAAGGTTCTCACTGTATTTAGACGGAATTAACAAACACCATCAGATCTAGATTGAAGGAAATAACTACATTAACGGAAGTTGGGGAGAGACACTTGAAAACTGTTGAAATTGAAATCATGTTTGTGTCAGCAGATGGTATCCTAGTGTCCTTGAGAGTGTAAGAGATCATCTTTTTCATTGTTGTTTTATTGTGGTATCATTCCCTTGGCTTATGATGGATTTGGCTTATTTGATAAACTGAAATAACTTAAAATTGGAGGGTGAGAACTGCGGACTAAATGTGGAGCTCTAAAATGCTGGAGCTTTTGTATCCTTTCTGAGTAAGTTAATTAATTGCTTTGGAACTTAGAATTTCTAGTGCTATCAACAAACCATTATTTATATACATTTCGAAGTTCTATTGATTCATTTATATCATTCTCTTCAAGTTATTTGCTGTCTTGACAATGGATTTCTTTTGTTTTTGCAGTTGACCAGCAATTTTCTATGATAATATGAATAATGCTTAATCAAGTTGTTGGGGTGTTTTGGAGTTTGTTTAATTGTTTTGCAAGCGTAACCATGCTATTTTGTTTCTTTAAGAACAGATTGTTAGCAAATATGTTGATATCATTTCGTACATTCCCATTTGTTAATAGACAATTTCTGGGATACACAATTTTCCTGAGATGTGTTTCCATATCTTTGGCCGGTTATAGGAGGCATTAATAGATGTGACATGGATATTGGGAAAGAATTGTTTGGTGGTGTACTGGTAAACTCTATCACACCCATCAAGCCTTTACTCTAATGTCTTGATCATTTCTCTATCTCCTGTCTCCTTTTGGTAATATTTTGTTCCAAAATAAGTAATTTATGCATGTATGCTGAGTCATGCAGTATCTGTTTCTTAAAATGCTACCTGGTAAACCTGAATTAATTTTTAATTTCTTAATTCCTCTTTGTAGCTGATATGTTACATCCGTGCTCCCATATAATGCAATTTGTTGTTGGCACAGCATTAATGTTACAGTTAAAAGAATGTCTTGAGAAAGATGTCCTGAAGGAATCGTTTCCTTTTTTATCATTTATGCTAAATGTTACATCTTGTACTTTCTCTCTTATGGCCTTAAACCTGGTTTTCGTGATGTTGCATTTATGGTTCCTTGGCACTAGTAATGGTTTGATGGTTTGACCCACTCCAACAAACTTGATTTCATATCATCATAGTTCATTCTGGACGGCTATTTTTCACCTTCAATTCCTCCATGGAATGCCATTTCATTGCTGCAAGAATAAGAACAAACTTTCCTTTAAAATGAAATAGGGAATTTCGAATTCACCTAAATACATATTGTATTGAATTTTAATTAGTTTTTACATGATGTTTACTTTCATCCTTTCTATTTATTTAACAAATCAAATTTATATTCTCAAATATAGCATTTATTAATTTCAATTATTATATTCTAGCCAATAGGAAAAAAGATGAATTATTTTGAAGTATGTAAGTGTTATCCGCTGCACTTTAATTTTTTACCTTGTTGGGAATTGGTTATTTTCACAAAATTTTGTGCAATTCATGCTAGATGCATATAGGTTTCAAACATGTTAATCCATAAACATGAATGACATTTCATAAAATTTTGAGGAAGTCTTCTGTTTAATACTTTTACTTAATTGTCATATTTGTTTTACAAGTTTAAAGTGTCATAGAGAGTGGACAAAGTATGAGCGTTGAGTGTCATATATCTATACATAAATATAAAGATTTTTCGGCAATTTATAACTTCATGAAACCAAAAATCTTAACATGGCCACTTTGTTTTTCTTTTTTCTTAATATTTCAGTTTTAAAGGTATTTTTTAATTGTTTTATTGTCACTTGATTTTACATTTTTTTTGGGTAGAATTTTAAGGAGTAGGAAAGGGAGGAAATTGGAGGCAACCATTGAAGAATGGGGGGCAGAGGGGGAAAAGCTAGCCCACACACCATTACTCTAGCTCGCACAAGGCATTGAGGCAGTAGGACCACTTGTGAGCCTACCAATCGCACGAGATTGAGTGTGTTAGCCATAGGAGTGTATAGTGCCACGGGGTCAAAATCGATATGCCGTTATAGCCCATGTAATAGACTGA